GACCCTTCAGTCCGCAGGCCGACGCTCTATCCACTGAGCCAAACTGATTAGGGCTCTTTTTTTATAAAATAATTTTATTGATTTTAGAAAGGAAGGGAGAAGGAGAAAGATAGAGAAACATCAGTGTGCAAGAAACAAAGATTAGTCGCCTCCTGCACAACACCTGGGGGAGATCCAGCCTTCACCCCAGGCCTGTGACCTGACCAGGACTGTTACCTGCCACCTCTCAGTGCATGGGAAGATGCACCACCAATTGGGTCACATGATCCAGGACCGTAGATCACTTTAATATAGGGATCCAGGGTCAGGGTGGTAATGGTAATAGTAGCTCCCAGGGGCAGTGTGAGCCTGAGGACTGGCTTTCCTGCCGGGGCCCCTGTTTGTGGGAGGTGGGTGTCACAGCACAGCATAGGGACAGAGTGGTCATGTAGAGTGTTGGGGAGAGAGAATGGTTTCCCAGTGGCCAAGGCCTTTAAAAGATGAGTGGGGGTGAGATATATTGGAGGCTGAAGAGTAATTCCAACAAGAGGAGAACACCACGATTTTGTTGTGACCCTTGGTGTTGCCTGGAGTGTTGCAGTCGGTCAGCGGCCTGTGGACTGAAGGGTCCCAGGTTCTAGTCCAGTCAAGGGCACATTGCCGGGTTGTGCACTCAGTCCCAAGTAGGGGGCACGCAGAAGGCATCTGATATTTATTCTCTCTCATCATTGATGTTTCTGTCTCTCTCTTCCTCTCCCTTCCTCTCTGAAATTAATAAAAATAAGAATTAATTTTAAAAAATAGGTAAATCCAATAGGATAGGATTATGTATATTCTCTCATAGCCTACTTTTTCTCTTAATAATGTGATATTTGTTAAAAATAAAAACTCTGACACCTGGAGTGACAAAGTTGGTTGAGCATCGCCCCATACACAGCACATTGCACAAGCCTGGTTTCCTGGCTGAATGTCCAGGGGTCGGTGGGAGGCAAGCAGGAGGCAGCTGATCATTGTTTCTCTCTCCATGTCTTTTCCTCTCTCTCTAAAAGTCACATTAAAAAGTTGAGAATTGTAGTCTTCAGGAATAATTTAAATAATACTTTGCACCTCAAGGAGCATTCTGAGTGTCACAGAATCTGATATGTGTACAAATAACAGATCCGTTGCAGACAGTACCTAACCAGCCTGCAAAACCTAAAGTTGTCATTTCCCAGTGCCACTTGGGTTTGCAACCACCAATATCTGCGAAGGTCAGGCAGTAACTGGGAACCTAATTCCACCTGTGAGGCCTCAAACATGATGTTACCTACAGGGCCATGCACCTAACGGTGGCTGGGTTTAGCCAATGAAAGCCCAGAACAGGTGGTACATTATCCAGGTATACATGGTTGAGGGCGGGGCTTTCAGGGTCTGAACCTGGTGATCATTTTAACTTCTTTGCTCTGTTCACAGAGACAGAGGGTTCCCGGAGCCAGGTCTCCAGTGGGACCAGGCGTCAGAGGCAGCATCCCCACTGTGAAGTGGTCTGTCTGAGGCTTGTTGAGCCACAATAGGCGGGATTGGGGCCTCCCAGACTCCTCTCTGCTTACAGAGCTCAACTCAGCGTTACCCCCATTTACCTTCCAGCCTCAGGTGCAGGCACCGGTCCGGTCCAGCAGCACAGGTAGCTGTGTCCAGAACAGTGAGTCGCTGTGGGTGACAGAAGGTGTGATGGGGGAAAGAGTGTGACAGGTGCAGTGCCGTTGTGTAAGGACTTGGTGGTGGGAGGATTTGAGAAACCTGGTCGTGTTTTGTGTCTAAAGGCAACAAAGAAGATGAGGGGAAGTTTTGCTTGAGGTTTTTACTGTCATTCTCAGGACACTGGGGCCATCAATGGCTGTGAAAAAAGAAAAAGTTCATTGTCTGATGTAGGTTCTAAAAACGTTTCTCAAAGCTGCTCGGAGGAAGAGCCGACTAGGAGAGAGGACAGCAGTTCCGGACAGAGAGGAGAAATCCTGTAAAAGATAATGAACCTGGCAAGAATTTGCACTGAGGACTGAGGCCTTGAGGGAATGCAGCTAACTCCAGGTTACCTGGCCTGGAGGCTGGGCGATGGTACTCAGCGGCCTGAGCCCATGGGTCCTGCCGGTGGTTGCCAGGCTCTCAACAGACCTTTCTCTTTCCACAGATTCCTGCAGATGCAGAATCGCTTATGGGGGGCTGGTTTGTGGAGCTTATTTCAGGTCCTCCCACTCTTGTGGCCCCTGAGATAGTGTTGTCCTGGGGCTGTCCAGCCACTCTTCTCGGGGGACCTTGGACCTGGGGACCTTGAAGAGACACCAAGCCCAGAACCCTAAGTCCAGGTCTAGGGTTAGATGAGTGGTCTCTGATTTTGGCAGCCAGTGGAATTGGATGTGAACGGCCCCTCCATACATGGGTTCCAGAATGTGCAAGAGCTTGGAGTGAAGGCTGAGCTGATTCAGGGAGCAACAGGTGTCTATTTTTTAAAAGTAGGAACTGGTAACAGTGGGACAGTAGTTGAGTCTAGGAGAGCATTATGACAACTTGGGTGTCTCTTCTGCAGGTGAGGGGACCATGGGGGTATTTGGAGCAGTGGAGGCAGGTGACCTGACCCAGGTCTCATTAGACGCCCTGTGGCTGCAGCATGATGCACAATATGGGTGAGAGGGAGGTGGTGGAAAGACTAGGACGGAAGCTGCTGTGATTTGTCTTGGTGAGTGTGATGGTATCTGGCCCATGATGGTGGCTGTGGAGATGGAATAAGCCAGTGGTTCTCAACCTTCTGGCCCTTTAAATACAGTTCCTCATGTTGTGACCCAACCATAAAATTATTTTCGTTGCTACTTCATAACTGTAATGTTGCCACTGTTATGAATTGTAATGTAAATATCTGATATGCAGGATGGTCTTAGGCGACCCCTGTGAAAGGGTCGTTCGACCGCCAAAGGGGTCGCAACCCACAGGTTGAGAACCGTTGGGATAAGCAGTTGGATTTGGGATCAGTGTTTTAGGTGTGGCCACCTGGATTTTCTAATTTTGAGGATGAGAGAGAGAGGTAAGAGTCACAGATGATGTGAAGGTTCGGATTAGCAGCTGAAGGAATGGAAGCACCATCTACTGAGATGGAGAAATTCATAGGAGAGTTAATGTCCATTGGGAATACAGAAACTTTTATTTTTGGCCTGTTAGGGTATGACATATTTCTTAGAGTGGTTCCAGAGCATCTGGAGTTCTGAGGAGTACTTCAAGATGACCACTTTAAAAATAGTGAAGCTTGTATGGACCAGGGAGGAGTTCAGCTTTTTTAAATTAGGGATGTAAAGGTAATTCAAACAAGCTGGGATTGGGGCTGATACATACTTATTTCTTAAACACTCACCAGGATTTTATTGTGAGCCTTGGTGTGGCCTGGGGTGTTGTAGTCAGCCTGGTGGACTTGCTTATAGGCATGAGTGGTAATCTGAGAATCATGGAGTATGTGGTAGAGGGCAGTAGGCGATGGAACTTGAGTGAGGAAGTCTGTGACTGGTGAGTGCAGCACTGGTAGAGGTGGGTTCTGGATATCAGAGATCTGATGTGGTTCTCAATAGGTGAGGTTGAAGGATAAACTTTCAGGGAGGGAGGCCGTCAGGCAAGACTCAAGGCTGCCTCTCTGAGTGTGAACTATTAGAGTGGGGGTAGGACTTCATCCGTGTTGAATTGGCCAGGCATTCTCTGGACCACACATGCTGAGTCATAAATAAAAGGCCAAGGAGATGACTATGGGGACTGTGGCTGGGGGGGTGCAGGAGTGAGAGAGGTGTGGTAGGAAGAGTGATGTGCCCTTTGAGAGGGCATGTGGATTCATGGCTGCAGGGCCCTGACATGGACATAAGAGGGAAGGAAGGTTGAGTCCAGTTCTGGTGGTGTCTGGATAATATATGGTCAATTTGAGATTAATTCCTGAAAAGAGGTGTGTTGTGGTGCTACATTTTTGGTCCAGAGCTTAGGTGTCATATATGTGCACACCTGCCTGCTGTTGTTGAGGGCTGGTACAGTGATCAGGAGGAATGAGGTAGTGTACATCACTCACCAGGGGTTGAAAATCTCCCCTAGATGGACAAGATAGAGGGTAAGAGAGAAACACGTTACAGAGGAAGTGAACTATGATTTTGGAAAAGATGTTGGTTAGGAAACCACCATCCTCATGATG